TTGTGTCAATAGGTTTGTTAATAGGTTTCAGAGGCCTCTATGGCAACTTTTTTTGCAATTTCAATTTCTTTCACTCTGAAAAGTCTTTACAGGATTGTCAACACAGCACATATGGAGGTTTTAAAAAACAAGTTTGAGGCTGGGTGTGGTGGCTCATGCCTGTAATCCCAGAACTTTGGGAGGCCAAGGTGCGGGGGATCATGAGGTCAACAGATCAAGACCATCCTGGCCAACATGATGAAACCCCGTCTCTGCTAAAAATGCAAAAATTATCTGGGCATGGTGGCATGCGCCTGTAGTCCCAGCTACTTGGGAGGCTGAGGCAGGAGAATTGCTTGAACCTGGGAGGTGGAAGTTGCAGTGAGCCAAGATCGTGCCACTGTACTCCAGCCTGGTGACAAAGCACGTCTCAAAACACAACAACAACAAAAAACAAGTTTGAGCTGGGCCTGGTGGCCTGCCTATAGTCCCAGTTACTCAGGAGGCTGAGGCGAGAGGATTCTTGCGACTAGGAGTTCACAGCTGTGGGCGCACTATGATCATGCCTGTGAATGGCCATAGAACTCCAGCCTGGGCAGCATAGCAAGGCCTTGTCTCTAAAAAGAAGAAAAAACAAAGTCTGAAGGGCCCAGTGTAAAATGTAATGTTTCCAGTGACTGCTAGTGTGTCTTGGAAGGTTTCCGTTCACTGCTTCGGGATGAAGGGCACTGTCTCAGGGATGCACTTGTCTTCAAGAAGAAAGAGTAAGAACTAGCCATGGAGAATCAGCAATGTCTCTTTGTGGCTAAACAGGCCAGTGACAGGTGTGTGTCAGGATCTGCAGGAACCAGGGACGGGTGTGGAGACAGGAGATGTCATGCTCTTGAGTGAAATGAAGGACACTTGTGTAATGGGATGTGTGGCTTTCTCCATCTCTCTGGGCCTTGATTTTTTGACATCAGGAAGTATTGTGTTCATTTGTATCAGGAAGGCATAGGTGCTCAGTGAGGAGAATTGGAAACCCATTTCTGCTCACGGCAACTTCACCAGCTGGTGTTAAACATTAAGTATAATCTTGCTAATGCATCCCAAGTGGTGGGGCAGAGTTGGGTGAGGTGGTGGGTTGGAGAAGAGGGAAAGATTCTAAAATTATTTTAAAGAACAGCTCAGTTATTTCCAAATACATTTAACAAAACTGCTGGCAGGGCCTTGTGTAGAGGCAACCTGTCCTCACTGCCCCAGAGGCAGATACAAATTTCCCGTAAGAAGCACATGTAAAGTAGGAAAGAAAATGGCTGCTGTCCACCTAGGGCTGGACAGTGCTTAAAAGCTCTTTTGTAGCTGCGATTCCCAACCTTTTTGGCACCGGGGACTGGTATCGTGGAAGACAATTTTTCCACGGACCAGAGGTAGCGGGGGTTGGGGGATGTTTTTGGGATGAAACTGTTCCACCTCAGCTCATCAGGCATTAGAGTCTCATAAGGAGCTGCAACCCAGATCCTGCACATGCACCGTTCCCAGTAGGGTTCGCGCTCCTATGGGAATCTAATGCCACCGCTGATGGCAGGAGGCGGAGCTCAGGCAGTAATGTTCACTCCCCACCTGCTCACCTCCTGCTGTGAAGCATGTTCCTAACAGGTCATGGGCTGGAACCAGTTTGCGACCCAGGGGTCGGGGACACCTGTTTTGCAGGACACAACAGCTGGTGAGGTTTATTTTGCTTCAATGCATGACCATTATTGGTATCACAAGAGCAAATGTCAGGGTTGAAGGTGCAAAGGACCATCAGTTCTAAATTACCAGGGTTTCCCACAGCAAATTCTGGGACTCTGACCCACCTGTTTTTCTCAGAGTGGACTAACTTCCCATCTTCAGGCATAGGTAATCCACCTCTAGTACCGACAATGTTATGACTGTGATGTTGTCAGAGCAGCACACATTTGCAAAAGCCATGACCTGCTCTCAGGAAGCCTTCCTTGACTCCATAGGTGCCCATGGAGACTCGCCCGAGGGAGCAGAACTTGGCAGCTTTTAATTTCAGTTTTCCCATCTGGCGGTCTGGTGCACTTCTTGAAGCTTGGATCTTGGCAGCACAGCCCTGCCCTGCCCAGACACCATGCGCATGCACTCGTTACAGCCTCGCTGACAGCTCAGACTGTCCCTGCTCTGCTCTAGTGAATTTCTCTCACCTCTGAGTCCAGTGTTTGCTCATGGCCACTCGACCTGCCCACCATTTGATCTCTTTTCTCTTTACGTTAAAACCTAAGACACAACTATGAAATACACTTTTAGAATACACCTTTTAAACTGTACAGTCATGCGTGGCATAACCATGTTTTGGTCAATGATGGAACGAATATATGACAGTGGTTCCGTAAGATTGCAAACCCTATTTTTACCACACCTTTTCTATGTTAAGATACACAAATACTTACCCTGGTGTTACAATTGCCTACCATATCCAGTACAGTTACATGCTGCACCAGTTTGCAGCCTAGGAGCATATAGTCTAGGTGTGTCATAGGCTTTCCCATCTGGGTTGGTGCGGCACACCCTGATGTTCTCACAATATGAAATTGTGTAAGGATGCATTTCTCAGAACGTACCCCCTCACTAGCTGATGTGGGACTGTGTGGTTTCCTCAACCACAATTCTACACATCTTTCCTTGCAACTCATTGCATCTTGGTGTTGGTTTAATGTTCTTTCTCATTTACTTTCATTTAGTTTTTAAAAAATTAAGCCTTTTTTTGGATATAATTGCAGATTTACATGCAATTGCAAGAAATGATACCCATCACCCAGTTTTCTCCCATGGTAACATCCTGCATGGTGATAGCACAGTATCAAAACCGAGAAATTGGGCTTAAAGCCTTTTATCTACTCTCACAGGCACTAGGGATTTTTAAAATTCAGAGTTTAGGAATCACATTAATATCATCAAATTTTAAAGATTCCTAATCAGATTAATCAGGTAGCAAGTAAGGGTCTAAGTCAGAGGAAGAGAAACGGCCTCTAGGAAAAAAGATTTCCTGAGGTTTCTCACTCTGTAATTTGGAACACAGGGATCAGAGAGAAAGAAAATCAGTTTACAATGCATAATGATATGTCTTTATTTCATCAACAGAAATGGTGTCTAGACAAAATTCAGTTAACACTAGCAATTCAATTGAGTGAAAACTTTTTTTGCACAATAGTGTATTTACAATGAGTAAATGAAGTTTCAATTCATTAATTCATAGCAATGCTTTTTTTCCCCAAAAGGTAAAAATTCTTAGTTACAGAGAATAAGCATCAACAGCCTTTCATTTTTACAATAAAAACCACAAGAAAAACCACAATCACTTAGAAAAAAATAAGGACAAGCCTAAGAACTAGTACAATAAAATGATGCATTGAATTAAGTTACATTAATCGCATAGAATCTGTGTAAAAAGTATGTAGAAAAACACCTGATGTAACCTGTTACAGTCGTTGACCAGTTATGAGAGGTACAGAGGGTTATACAGGTAGATATGTGTGAAAACTGTCCGTATTGTTCAACCTGGGGAGGAAGAGAAGAGGGGCTGCGGCCCCTTGCATACACTGAGAAGACCCTGTTTTGAATATGGCCTCTGGAGTTTGTAAGGCATATATTAGAGGTGCACTTGCATCAGACTGGTTCTGGAACAAATTGTCACAGGCCCTCTTGGCCTCACTAGCAAAGGTGCTGCTTGCCTTGAATGGCTCACTGTGTCTAACAAGCACCTGAAGCTCCCAAACACATATGGAATCTTCCTGATCACTCACTAGAGGTGCCATGTCTTTATGTCAGAGCGTGAACAGGCATCCCAGGATTTGCACACACAAAATACATTGTTGGGACTTAAGGGGAGGTCACACTTCTGCCTCCAAACATGTTTTGGTAGAAGACTGAGCATCCATCTGTAGGAAAACCCCTTTGTCCAAGTCCCTTCACTCTTTCGCAACATATGCGTCTGATTATTCCCATGGGAGTGCTTGGCACTGAATGTGAGTCTACCTGAAATGAATGGTCTTGGTGCACTTCTGCTTCTAAGAAGGGCCAGTGTTTTCTCTGAGGTCAATAAACTGGAATGAGAATGAAAGTCAGAGCTGTTTATCCATTGCTTGACAGCGATATGCATACACCATGTCACAACATTAAATCAAAGCTATGAAAGTTGGCCTCTGCAACCAAGTGGGTATTCTTCACAAAATGGCAGCATCGTTTTCATATTACATTTAAAATGCACTGATATTCATTTGATAGAAATATCATCTCCCAGGGTGGAGTGTAGGAAAATACTATAAACTTACTTTTCTTTGCAAGTAATGTTTTTGCACCGTCAGTTGAATAATTTATCCTCAATCTGCCACAATAAGACTTTTCTATGTACAAATGCTATTTGCACACACTATTTGTGTACAAATATGTTCTGTTCTACAGCATCGGTTTTGGATGCTGGGGTCATGAGATGGCTCGGGCAGTACTATCAACATACACTTTCAACACACAATGCCTCGTGCACACAGACTTCCTGTATGAATACCAACTCCACAACAGGGCATTGTACTGTGGACTGGCTCACCAGAAATCGAACTTCCAACACAGTGTTCAATCTGGGGAAGAAACACTAACCCATGGTACAACGAACAGCTTTATTCTTAAAAAATAAAAACAAAAACAAAACCAAAAAAACACCTTGTTCTTTAGTCTATTTACAGTCATTTGAGGACCAAACTTGATTCTTGCTCCTTTATGGATCTGAGACTCCTCCTAAACTGTAAGCAACAGTGGAGCAGTTTGAAGTCATTTCTAAAACAGCTCCTAGTTTAAATGGGGCATAATGTAGAGAAGTAGGTAGCCAAATAGGGACGTGAGAAAGCTTTGCAGGCAGCTCTTCCTCATTGTGAGAGGATTATGCTACTGCACAGGATGTCAAGCAGCTTCACGGGACAGGAGTTTTTGGTGTCTTAACAGGCTTATCATTTTCAAACCTTTGTTCCTTCTTTTTCTTCTTCTTTGATGGCAATCATAAAATATTAAAAGAGAAAATGTGGGTTTAGGCCTCTTGACAACAGCATTAAACTTCACACTGTGCACACTTCACTTTAGCCAGTCCTCTTATGAGTCCTGTCGCTGGTCCTGGCTCCTTTTGAAGGAGTAGTGGCAGTTGTCATACTAATCACTAGCCTCTTTTTTTTTTACTTCCTCGGAAAAGCAATATAAGGATTACATCCTGAATTAGAGTGCATCTTAAAAGCAGCAAACCTTTAGAAAGACAGTTAATAAATTACTCGCACAACATACAGTTGCAGACGCACAGAGTCAGGTTTTCCACTGCAGCATCGCCTCTGACGCCTGAGTCATTGCTGGGAACTGAGAAGAGAAGTAGCAGGATGGCCTCGTAACTTTGTCAGCTTTTTTTTTTTTTTTTTTTGAAATTTTTCTAACAGTTTTGTTCCAGAATCAGTATGTAATGAAGTTCAGTTTTAATCAAGGCACCCCCAGATAACACAGAGAAACAAACACATACAGCAAAGCACTCACCTGCCCAAAGCCTGACCAACTTGAAGAGAGGTTGCCTGGAGACACAAGCAGGACAAAGGCAGATCCAAGGGGAGGACTGGATTTAGGTGGGATGTTCATTAGTCTCAGGGTCATCTCCACTGGCTCTGCCCCAACAACCATTCCTACCCCAGCCATTTGGAGACCCAAGCAGGCATCCTCCTAAACAGCCTGTGGTTGGAGGGTCTCTTATTTTTGTAAAAGAGCCTTAAAAACAACCAAATGTCCCTGTACTGTGCAAATACTCTTCCTTGCTGTTCACTTGCTTTTTTTTTTCTTAAAAGGTGTGGGGTTGACCGACGGATCCCAGGGAAAAGAGACAGGCTGGGTTTTAAAATTCCACTTGAGGCCGTTTGGATTCTGGTCCCCAGCAAGTCCTCCCTTTGAATCAACCCAGAAATAATTTTGACAAGCACACAGTTCCGAATAGGAAAAGACACGCACACATCACATGAACAACTGCACGAAGCTAGTCACGGTTCATGGTGTATTATGAATGAGATAACTTGTTAGAAATCCCTACGAAACTGGAAGATGGTTTTTAGAGCAGTGTTTTTAACCAGTTCCCATGGCAGAAGTTAGGTTGGGGGAAGAGGAAGAAAAGCGAGGCAGGGGTTGGTGGGAGGAGGGTGAGGTCTGAGTTAGGGTGGAGAGAAATAAAGAGACCCTGCCCCTCCTAGAAATGACTGCCAAACAGGTCTGGGCTACTGAACATAGAAACCTGGGGAAACGGATGGAATGTGGTCAAGACTACCAGTTGCACATGAGTTGTTACCAGGGTAAACCTCATGCCAAGAAGCTGGGTTGGACCTGGTTATGATACGAGCAGAAAGTGTTCTTTTTCTAAAAGAAGAGGAGAGGTCACTTGGAAAGGCAACAATAGAGTTAAAAAGCAAAATACTGTCAGCTGACTCCACCATAACACACGCCTGTGAAGTACCACGTGATTCACATTGAGTTTATATTTTCGTTGTCACCAGTTTTCCACAAAGGCAAACCTCACGGTGAAGCACAGAACTGTCCTAGTAGGCCAAGAAATTCCAACAACCATAACAAAAACCAGCAGCTCCAACACAGAGCTTTATCAAGATCTGTTTCAGACAAGCACACACACACGCACACACACAAACACACACACACACACGAGAAAAAACAGAAACCCAGAGGCAGGTTTTAAAAGTGGAACTGTTTAAAAAGAGCCTTTTTTTTTTTTTTTTTTTATCCTACTGCATGAACTGACAAATTTCTGGCATTCATACATATTTAAACATTTAGTGCTAATATTTGTACAGAAAAAAGTTAATAATACTAAAACATATGTTACTATGATTTCACTGTTCGCCTACATCGTACACTAATTTCCCCTTTTACATGCAGCTTTAATATTGTCCAAACAATGGCACAAAGAAAGAAACAAAGTCAACCATCTATTCCCCACTGCCCACCACCCCATCCCCACATCAAACCGTTCAGGACTCTCTTCCCCAGCCGGGCTGGAGTGGCCCTCGGGCTGCTCAGTGAGACCCAGACCCAAGGCCACTGGAGCGAGGGAGCTGATTCCTCCTCCTCTGGGGCACACCTTCCTGTAAACGTGGCTGGGGCCAACACGCCCCCAGAGCCAAGGGAAGCTGCTCTCTCTGGGTTGCAAGTCAACCAGTTTTGCAGCAAGAAGAGAAAATTATCATCAGGTGAGGGTAGGGTATATGTGTGATTCGGGAAGGGGACAGGGAGGGCTCCCGGTGATAGCTTGTCCAAAGCCTCAGAATGAAGTCTGCCTTCAGACAAGAGACTGGCAGAAAAACCTCAGAAGACAACGCCAAGCCTTTGGAGAAGGAAAGGAGAAAGAATGTGTCAGCCTGTGTCAGGGATGGATCGCAGATGCCAGGATGCCCTGCTCTCTCCCAACAGGGTGAAGGCAGGACCTTCGGGGCTGTGATTCAAATCCCCTCAGGCCAGATGTCCTGGGAGGCCGAGCCTGGGCAGGAAAGCCGGTGGCTGGTTGGCCCCGTCCTTTGGGGGGGCAGGTCCTACAGCACAACACTTCCAGAGCAAGCCGAGGCCTCAGGACGTGTTGAAATGAATGGGACTTACTCCCTGGGTGAAAACGTTCTAGCTTGATTTCTAGGAGCCAATGCCTGCTGAGTTCTGGTATAAAATCATGGATTCCTGTTTTTCTGATGTACTTTTGAGTGAGATGTCCAAACTCTCTCCCCACGTAGGAATCTGAACATCCAGCATCAACTCTGAACTCTCTATCTGCATTTAAATTTTGCTTAGGGAAAGGTGGGGAGGAGGTGAAATATAAAAATATTCAAGCAGATTATTGTCTACACATCCTAGGATGAATTCATTATTTGGCAAGATTGTTTTTCCTACATAATTATCACCTGAGTGCTTTTTAATTAGCTAAAATGTTTTACTTTTTAAACTAAAAGCAAAGAACATACAGTATACTTGAGTTATACTGAAGTTACAACTTCATTTAAGAAAATAGGTTTGACCCAAAACTCAGTGCAAGTGGCAAAGTTGACCATCACTGTACAGTATCTGCAAGGAAAAAAACAAAAAAACCAAAAACAAACAACCCCCCCCCCACCCAACAAACAAAAAACAAACCCACAATACTCAAATGACACCACGTGGCGGTGCCAAAACCAAACCAAACGAAAAAGAAATCTGAACTAAAACCTTGGGAAAAAGCTTCTAACACTGAATTTTGTCCATAAATAAGCACAAATTGAAAATTGAACTATGAAGCAAGAAAAATGACCATGTTAACAGTTACCAAACTAGTTCTAGCATCAGAGACAAAAGAAGAGGAATGTTGGAACCTGTTTCTAAATGAGAAATAAGTTTCCAGTTTTAGGATGAGAAAGTTGAGGCATGCAGGACTTTTGCATATGGATATATATATATATTTTATATATATATTATATATAATATGTACAGTCTAGCTATAAAACTTTGATGTGTATAGAAGCTGTCTTCAATGAAAAAAATTGAACATTCAGAAGAAATTCCTGAGATAGGGTTTGTGACATGGGCCACTGAGAAAAAAAATCCGTGGTTGGGGCCTAGAGGTGTTGTAGTCTATCCCTGTGAAGACTGAAATTGAGCCACAGACAGACAGTGTCATCACTGCTGTCTTTCCTTGCCTGGGCAAGGGGTAGCACCATTGTGAAGGTAACTATCTATCACTCCTGCTCGAGAAGAGGAGAGACTACTTCGGAACAGTATTGCTGCTAAGACCGCTGTAGTGTGCACCAAATGTGTTCTCGGTTTCTTCGGGACAGCAGATGAACAGTGCCACAGGCTGACTGAAGAATGCCTGGATGAGAGAGGTGTGCAGACCGGGAGGCAGAGCCGAGTCACTAGGTGTAATCTTTCCTGGGCTGTTCGTCAGTTGTACACTTATCAGTCATTTCCTGGCAGAAGTCCACGGTCACTGTTTGGCTCCTGGGTTCAAGAGGAGGTCCTCCTCTCTCTGAGAAGGTTCCGGGGTCAGTGCCTTCTAGCCTCCTCCCAGAGGTACAATTCTCGGAGGTGTTGCTGGGTGCCCAGGGGGGCCCGGGGGGAGCTGCGCCTGGCTCCAAGCAGCAGGGCACATTTTCCCCCACTGCGCATTGGGAGGCTGCAATGTTCTGCTCAACACCCAAGGGCGCAGGGTTAATACTGGAGGCTGTGGGCAGGTCCATGGGTCTGAGGACAGGGCAATACCGATGCAGGGCCTGGATCTGCTCGGGACTCTGGATGTCTCGGCAGACTTCCTGGGAAAGGCAGGAGAAGTTGTCCAACAGTTCCCCCATGCATGCTTTCAGTTGATTCCTCTCTGACAACAGTTTCTCTTTCTCACACACCTGGACAGCAGACAAAAAAAGAGAAGGGTTGATCAAGCCTGAATTGGAGGACCGAAGGCCTCGTTTCAGGAGGTTTTCCAGCCTTTGTTTTGCATCCTCCATTATAATGTAACACAAGAATGACTAGGTCAGGCTCTAGAAACTTAAAAGATACATATTCAGGGACCCCAGACAGGGGCTTCTGCCGCACCTCCCATCTGAGCAGCCCATCCAGATGGGCTGCTGACGCCAACACCTTCTCCAGGACACCTCTTCATCCCTCTCCAAGGTCCAGGCAAACAACCGGCAAAATTGTCACCAATCAGAAAACTTCGGAGTCAATGTTTTGGTTTCCCAGAATTTGGCGTTTGTAGAGAGTTAAGTTAAAAACTCTCAGTCCCAATCTTGTGATTGAAAATCTCCCCCAAATGTATCAGGTTGCCATTTTTGAAAGGCAAAAATCTACCATTCCAACTACATGACATTTTGAAAAAAGCAAAACTATGGAGACAGTAAAAAGATCTGTGGTTGCCAGGGGTAAAGGGGGTTGAACAGGTGGAGCACAGAGGATTTGGGGGCAGTGTATGACACTATACTGGCGGGTCCATGTCATTATACATTTGTCCAAACCCACAGAATGTACAACACCGAGAGTGAGCTCTAACGTAAACTACGGACTTGGGTGATAATGATGTGTCAGTGTAGGTTCATTGACTAACATGTGTACACTTTGTGGGGGATGCTGACAGTGGGCGAGGCTGTGTGTGTGGGAACAGGAACATATGGGAACTCTCTGTATAGTGTGTTCAATTTCGCTGTGAACCTAAAACTGCTCCTAAAAAAGTAAGCCAGGCTGGGGTGCAGTGGCTCACACCTGTAATCCCAGCACTATGGGAGGCCAAGTTGTGTGGATCCCTTGAACTCAGGAGTTTGAGACCAGCTTGGGCAACATGGCAAAACCCCTTCTCTACAAAAGATACAAAAATTAGCCAGGTGTGGTGGCGCACGCCTGTAGTTTCAGCTTCTTGGGAGGCTGAGATGGGAGGATCACTTGTGCCCAGGTGGTGGAAGCTGCAGTGAGTGAGATGGTGTCACTCACCCTGGGTGACAGAGCGAGACCCTGTCTTCCCCCGCCAAAAAAAAAAGTGTATTAGAAAAAAAAACCCAAAAAAAGTCATCAGCAATTTCCTACGGTTGCCTAACATATGGAGTTTCATATAGAACCCAACATCACAGGCTCTCTGGCCTTGGTAGCAGAGCAGACTGAACAGGAGGGACCCTCTCTAGGACAGCTGGGGTATGTGCAATGGGTCTGGAGCAGCGATTCTCCCAGACTCGGGAAGGGAGAAGGAAGGATGGAGCCTGAACCCTTGCGTACTAGCCCAAAGTTCTGAGATGTTCTTCTCCTTAAACAAAATCCTACATATGCTTTTGTGTTCCTGAAATTCACCATCCCAACAGAGATGACTTCAGCAACAGACTGGAGACTAATTAAGGTTTTACCATCAACATTTGTGGGAAGGGGGCTGGGCGTGGTGGGTCATGCCTGTAATCCCAGCACTTTAGGAGGCTGAGGTGGGTGGATCACCTGAGGTCAGGAGTTTGAGACCAGCCTGGCAAACATGGTGAAACCCCGTATCTACTAAAAACATAAAAATTAGCTGGGTGTGTTGGGGCATGCTTGTAATCCCAGCTACTCAGGAGGCTGAGACATGAGAATTGCTTGAATCGGGAAGGTGGAGGTTGCAGCGAGACGATATCACACTACCGCACTCCAGTCTGGGTGACAGAGCGAGACTCCATCTCAAAAAAAAAAAAAAAAAAAAAAAGAAAAATTGCGTGAGGGTGAGGGGAGGAGATGGGGTTCCATGAGGTACACACAATGAAGTGGATGAAGAAAAGGGGCATCTGAAGCAGCATGAAGTCAGTTCTCACCAACCCTTTGCAAGTGCAGGCAGGAGAAGAGGATGGGAGAGAAAATGAAGAGGAGAAAGGGAGGAGCAGGCATGCGACATGCACAAGGAACAGGTCTTTGACACGGGAACTGCATGTGCCATAACATGAACGCAATCTGGCAGGCGGCGTGGGCATGTGTGTTGGAAAGACAGATTTATACCAGGAAAGGGCACCTGCTAAAATATTTATAAATTTATCAAGAAAATACATTTTAAAAAGGAAAAATAAACAGATGTAGAAGTGCAACTTGAGAGAAATACATTATGCGAGTTTGCAACAGCTGAGTGGCGGGTGTGTGGGAGGCGACGTGGGAGTGGGGAGTGAGTGCAGGGCTTGCTGGGGACTGGGCAGGGAGGGACTGGGGAGAGGTGGAAGCTGCTCCATCCACCAACGCCATCCCTGCCAGGACACTGCATTCCCGCCACAGGGTGGCAGACAAGAAACAAAACACATCTGGGATATCTCCTTGGGGAGAAAACTTGTATGGGTGGCTGTGCAACCTGGAGCTCTCCCCTTTTAGTACAGAAATCTGCCAAGTGAGGGGCAATACTGCTTGGGCGCTGGGAGAGGAACCCCAGGATCATTCTGCCACATTGCCCTGGCCAAAGCACTGACCCCTCCAGGCCTACTCATTTGTTAAATGTTCCAGGCCACTTTCTAGGGGGAAGAAAATGAGGTGCTGCGTGTGACAGCAGCAGGAAAGACAGTGTAACTCACGCCTCGGTTAAAACCATGAAGCTCTAAGTCACACACGCACACTGACGAGTGTGTTCTCATTCAGCACCGAAACACAACGCATTATTTAAGGGATGCCAAAAAGTGGTTGGAGAACTAGATGATGCTCTTTTGGTTTTTCAGTTGAAAAATGCTGGCAAAGTGCTTTAGATATCTACCTGGTCTGTGGCTTGGATTTTATTTGTTCAGTATTACAACACTACACTAAGCAGAATGCGAATTACCAAAACCAGGCATTTCTCAAATGTGGGTGACTGAAGTTATTTTACTACCTTAAGAGGAGTGCAGGGCACTATAGACATGTGCCTAGGCCCCTGTAGACTCACACCCAGTGGACTTAACTACCTAAGCCCAGCAGGCTTTCAGAAGACCCACACTCACCAGCAGGAATGTTGTCTCCTTATGTGATTTAAATTAAATTTTGTTGTTTAACAAAAGTAAACAATGTTAAAGAAATATTTGAAAGAAGAAACTCATAATCCCCTGAACTGAAAAGTCACAATATCCAGCAAATTTTAGGGCAACAGACATTTTCTTGACCCCAGCAATGGGTCCAACACTGGATATTCAGAAATGATCAAGTCACTGTCCTTGTCCTTGAGGAACACGACAGTTGAGGGCTGGGGGCTGGGGAAACAGACATATGTGAAGATAACTCAAGAGTAAGTGATAAGCACTAAGCCAGAGGTCAGATCAGGGTTCCATGAGCAGGTGCCCAGCCTAACGGGGGACTCAGGAAAGGGGCTTCCTAGAGACGTGATGCATAACCTGACTCATTCATTCAGAGATGGGGTCTTGCTATATTGCCCAGGCTAGTCTCAAACTTTTGGCCTTAAGTGATCCTCCTGCCTCAACCTCCCAAAGTACTGCAATTACAGGTGTGAGCCATGGTGCCCAGCCATGACCTGACTCTTAAAGAACAAAGGAGATAGAAAAAGTAGAGGAATGTCCAAGATAGAGAGGAAATGGTGTAGGCACAAGTGCAGAGACTGATTTTATCAGGGATCAAGTCCTAGGAAGGGAGTGGATGGTGACACTGGAGAGGCAGCTACAGACTGAAACACAAAGGGCAGGAGAGGTCCTACTAAGAAGCTTGGACTTTCTTTGTTGGTGATGGGAGCTACTAAAGACAGATATTTTCCCTGGTTGGTGAGTGTCAAAACAAAAAAAAAAGAAAACACAAAACAACAACAACAACAACAACAACAACAACAACAACAAAACCCTGAAGTCCAGGGCTATCTTGATAACATATATCCTATGCTTTTCTAACATCTCATCCTTGTGCTTTGGTTCTCATCAGCTGGTGGCTCACCATGAGGCCAGAGGGTGCTGCAAACAGTCTAAGGAGCCACACTTAGATCATGACCACACCATGCAGCCTCCCTCTTCTTCAGCCTGACACAGACATGGCACCTGAGATGAGTTTCTGTTATTTGGTGGCAGAAAGGTAGAGCTGAAGGAGGTTGAGTTGGTTGCCTTCAAAGCTACAGTCAGGAGCCAGAGGTCACCTGGATTTACTTTCTGTAGCTTATGGCTGCTTATCAAAGAGAAGGGGTGGGGGCACATAGCTCTGAGTATATGGGTGAGCCTGGGAGACGGGAGTTTGTTTTCTGTGACAAAACACTCTCAGGCAGAGGGATGGCTATGACAGTCACCTTGAGGCAGAACTGCAAAAGAAAGGGCCCTGGGGCTGCAAAGGATGCCAGGAGATCATCTCCTGAGCAACGGCCCCACTGCAGGTAGGCGTCCTATCTCGAATCCATTCTCTTCTGTCAGGAGGCAGGAGAAAGCAGTGGTACAAGACACGATTTGGAATCAGACACCTGGGTTTGCATTCAAGTTCTACCAAGTACTGGGAAGTTACCCAACCCTTCTGCATTGCAGTTTCCTCCTCTGAATGGGGATAAAGGAGTGCCTAAGTCATAGCGTTAATGTGAGGATTAAATGGGATCATCCACAAAAACCGTTTAGAAGAATACCTGGTCCATAAATGCTCATAATTAACATCAGTTATTCATTTATGTTTTTGAGACAGGGTCTCACTCTATCACCCAGGCTGGAGTGCAGTGACGCAATCTCCACTCACTGCAACCCCTGCTCAAGTGATTATCCTGCCTCAGCCTCCTGAGTAGTTGGGATTACAGGCACACGCCACCATGCCCGGCTAACTTGTTGCATTTTTAGTAGAGACGGGGTTTCACCATGTTGGCCAGGCTGGTTTCAAACTCCTGACCTCAAGTGATCGACCTGCCTTGGCCTTTCAAAGTGCTAGGATTACAGGTGTGAGCCACCATGCCTGGCCAACATCAGTTATTTTCATGTTGGATGAAAAATAAAAAAGAACTACCTCTATATGAATAATGACTGAAGGATATAAAATATTGACACACTATTACACATCTGCGTGTGCGCACACGTGCGCGTGCGCACACACACACACAGAGCAGATGTAAAGCTATTACTTCTGTTGAGAAACTTGTTAAAAAATAAACCCAAACTTCCCCAAAGGATGACTCTTCTTTCTACTTTTCCAACTTTCTTTGCTGTTCCTTTACATTGGTCCTGGTCACTTCCGGTTGCTGATCACAATGGATGGGCCAACTCACCAATTTGCGGATTTCACATTCTAAATTCTGAATACAGTCCAGTTTCCTCTTGCGGCAGCGCTGGGCCGCGATGCGGTTCTTGCTGCGCCGTCGGACATCATGAATGAACTCTAACTGTTCTGAGGTTAGCTTGTGCATCTTAATCATCATCTGGAAATCGTTCCTTGGAAGATCTGTGATTTGATCTACAGGAAAAGGAAGTTTTACCTGAAACCAAGAATAACAGAAAATGATTATGGCAGCTGGATTTTAATTCTGGCAGGCGGAACATCAAAAACGATACAACCTCCTTTTTACGATGACCAAGTAATATGGAAACTACTGAAAGCAAGCAGTGATTACTTATTTCCTGAGGACAAATAAGATGTAATAATAACAGGATAATCAAAGAGAATAAGAACACACATATTGTAATGTTATTGTCTCTCAGATTTTTGAAGCAAATGGCATGAACAATATTGGAAAATGTTTCATTTTTCATTGATGAAGCACTTTTGTAAGAAAGATTCCAGTTAGTTGAAATGTACTTCCATAAGACCTACAGCCTAACTCAATAAAATGACAAGTTACAGGGAGATACCACATAAGTACATATCTAAAGCACCTGGATGAAGACAGCCCCACATATCCTGAAGATGCTGGAGACACAAAAAACCCAGTGTGATTCTCAGTTACAACAGCATATGGGAGAGAGGAGAAGATAACTTGGATAGGCTTCACCAGCATATACTAGGAGTCAGAAGAACCAGACTTTCATCCTTCTCACCAGACCCGAGACCTCAGACTAGCTACTCCACCTCTCTGAGATTCAATTTCCTCATCTGAAAAACAGGGCATTTAAAAAAAGCTATACATTGCTATACAAGTGTTGGGCACTCTGGGACTTTATTTTCCAATGAAATGTTGACATTCCTTCATCAAAAGGTGAGATGCATTTTCCTGCCTTTTGACCAACAGAATGCAGCTGTAGTAATGGTGTATAGTTTCTGAGGCTAGGTCGAAAATTAGCTGCCATGCCTCGAGGACATTCAAGCAGCTCTGTGGAGAAGCCTATGTGGAGAGGGGCTGATGCCTCTAGCCAACAACCAGCATCACCTTGCCAGTCATGTGAACAAGCCACCTCGGAAAAAGATTCTCTAGCCCCAGTCAAATCTTCAGTTGAGTGTAGCTCCAGTCAACATCTGACTTCACTTTATTAGAGATCTTCAGCCAAAACTGCTCAGATGGGCCACTCCTGATTTCCTGATTCACATTCACATTTCTCACAGAACCTGTGAGAGGTGTTAAGTGATTACTATTGTTTTAGGTCATTAAGTTTTGGGGTGATTTATTATGCAACAATAGACATTGGATGTAGGTACTTATCAGCAAAATTCCAATTCTTGACAAATTCCAATTCTTGACAAATCAAGGCAAGTAAGTATTATCTAAAGCGAGGACAGCAGTCTCCTGAAGGATGGGTTTGTATCATTACTATGTTGTTAAATGATTGCTTATATTTCTCTTTTTCTTTTTTTTTTGAGACAGGGTCTTGCTCTGTTATCTAGGCTGGAGTGGTACGATCACAGCTCACTCTAGCCTTAACCTCCTGGGCTCAAGCAATCCTCTTGCCTTGGCCTCCCAAGTAGCTGGGACCACCATGCCCGGTTACTTTTTTTTTTTTCTTTTTGAGATGGAGTTTTGCTCTTGTCACCCAGGCTGTAAATGCAATGGCACGATCTCGGCTCGGCTACTGGTATTCTGCTTGCAAAATGATGCCAACCAAAGGAAACTGGGCTCAGGATCAAACGTCTTCATCTTCACTGCCTTGAAGAACACAGACTTAACCCTGCAGCATCTGAACACTATTGAGGGTTAGTTCTCCACCCAAGAGAATTTTGATCAGTTCAGCCCAGACCCATGGTGTTTTTCTGGCTGCTGGGATTCCACTGAGTCCATTTATTCTGTCTCCTAGAGTGCCACTGTCCAGTTGCCACTTGCTGTACGTGGCTGTAGAGCCCCTGAAGCAAGCTAGTCTGAATTATGATGCGCTGTAGGATAAAATGTGCTTTGGATTTGGGAAGTTTT